AGATTTCAGCAATTGACATTAACGCCAAATTTTGCGGGAAAAGCGCAAAGAAAGAGCTTGAGAAAGCGTGTCGCACTTTGATCTGGCCTGAACATCTCCTTTGAGGGCAAGAAGCGCAGTTAAAAAAATAGCTAGTTCATTACAATTGTGCAATGTTGTTCTGGAAAAGTATTACGAAAGACCTGAAGAATTGGACACACTGTTTAAGATGATGCTGGTATTAAATGGTTTGTTCTCTTTCACCGCAGTTCTGGGAAACTTGAGTATAATTTTCGCGCTAAGGAAAGCTTCATCTATTCCTTCCTCAACGCAGATTCTTGTAAAGTGTTTAGCTGTAACAGATCTTGGCAATGGCGTTCTTGGTCACCCACTTTACATGGTTGTTATTTCAAGACTCCGACAAAGTTACACCTGTGAAAATAACCACCAAATTCTATTAGCATTTTTACTTATAGAAACTTCGTTATGTACTGCCTCGTTCATAACTGTAACCTTCATCGGAGTAGACCGTTTTTTGCAATTTCCTTACATCTTAGATACAATGAACTAGTGACTCCAAAGCGAGTAGCTGCCACAGTGCTCGCGTCGTGGATAGTTGTTTTAGCTACCACGATCATAGGTGCCTTCTGGTTTTTGAATATTGGGGAGATGCTGATCCTTATTAATGGATATATCAGCACTCTTTTACTCAGCATCATATACATTAGACTTTTTTCCGTCGCTCGCCGACACGTAGCAAGTATAAACAGCCAAGCTCAAGTAACAGCTCATCTGTCAAGTATCAGAAAAATGGCCAGAAACAAGACCTTAGCCATAAAAACGTTTTATGTGTTCGTTATATTCTTGCTGTGTTACTGTCCATACTTAATCTGTTTAACAGTGTTGTTACTCAGTTCTCAGCCGAATGCGGCGATAAAGGGAGCCGCACACCTAACGTTGGTTTTATGGATGCTAAATTCATCGTTAAATCCAGTGGTGTTCGGCTGGAAACTAAAAGAAGTTCGTCAAATCGTTAATAATGATTTCAAAAAAATTATTCCTTGTAAGTCGAACGACTGAGGTCTTTCATTTAAGGTGTGTTTCAGGATTGGAGTATCGGGATTTGGTTTCTCCAAAATCGAAATCCGGAACATTTTCGGACGGATTTTGCCAAACAGGGTCATTTCTTCTTCTGCGTGGATTTTAATTCATAGACCCTTTCACGGTCTTTTCTGATCAGTAACTTTTGACAGGACAAGTTAGGGAAAATCCGCCGGGAACACTGGAAATAGCGCCTTCTAAGCGAACGAAGATATATTTTTTAAATAGCTCTTCTGGCAAAGTTGCGAATTAAAATTTACATTGCGTTCGGTGGAGGACAAGTTTGTGGCCCCTACTATACAAACCGACAAACTTTGAGGACCTGTCTTCGTTAGTGTTCAACAAATTAAATCACTTTCATACTTAGCAATTTTTCTAATTTAAAGACACTCTTTTCAGCGGAGTTGACGGATTTTTCCTGACTCGTGTATTGTAAAAAAATGAAAAAAAATCGCGGATTTAAGAACTATTTCTAGACAGGTCCTGCAAAGAAAATCTTTTTGGGGGGGTTTCATGCGCTTGATCAGGAAATCGGAAACGGAAATCTTGTATGTACTTAAACTAGGGTATCTAAAAGATAGTAATGCTGCGGCATATTCTGTTGATACTGGCATTAGTTAGGCAGTGGGACTTAAAAGAATCGAAAATGCCATTGAATGTTGGAAAGTACTAGAATAATTACTATCAGTCTATAGAAAGAACTCGTGGGAACGTTGTTTAGAAAATGATCAAGTGGTCATAACTCTGGTTTTCCCACAGTAAATTGTAGGAAATGATAGGAATTCAGATTGTTTATCCATATATTTAATATACGGTGTACTATCTTTTCTCTGGAAACACGATTCTTTTCTTACTCTTTATTGAACTTTATTAAGTAACAGCTATTTAGCTATATATTTATAGAAAACAACAACACAAAAAACGGAAAAAAAAAAAAGAAGGAAACACCATCGGCTTGACGCGGCTGCACCTAACCAGCGAAAAAGTCTTTTATTTAATTCCTTTTCCATGAAACTTCCGCCGGCAAGATGATCGCCAGCCGCATTAATCGAGCTATTAACAGTAAAAAATCAATGTAAACGCATATTCCATAGCAATGAATGAATGAAAGAACATAATTATGCTTTTCAACACGCCGATACAGGTCCTCGTCAGTGTCCTCGTCTGCAGCGTAGGACACAAAACATATGTCTCGATTTCCTCTGTTATTTTGAAGCGAATGGTCAAAATCACATCCATTCTCGGCTCATACAGGTTCTTAAGAATAGCATGGCATGACATTCTCTCACTTTCACATCACCTTCTAGCAAGCTGGAATTTGTATATCCCCCGTGTTGTGGAGTCGAAGAGCAGATGCTCACCTTCTCGTCAGGTTTAACACCTGGACGAGTCAAGGCTCTTGAATTGAAATCCAATCCCCAAGTTAACCATCGTACTCATCTGAAAGACTCCTGCGTGTCTCAAATTTGGTAAGACCTCTAACCATGCTGTAGAAAATTTGCTACAAAGAAAACTCTGAGTCTGGGCAGCGAACGATGCGAACTTCCCCGTGTTTTTATTTGAGTTGTTCGTGGCGCAATGCACTCTGGTTGAATGCAATGCATTGTGGTAAAAAAGTGTGGTTAAATGCCATGCATTGTGGTAAAAAGTGATGAATTCGAGAATTCGTCGCCCCTTATATCTATTTCCCTTAAATCCTGATTATGTTGCTGCTCGCTCCCTACGGCCGCTCCGCAGCAATAAACTGAGGTTGGAAGGATAAATAGCTGAATTTTCGCCCCTGATGAGACGCGGTTTGGTGTACGATTTTTATTGGCGTACAGTTGAAATCCATTTTAACAATGACAGGGTTTCTTTCTCCCAGGTTTCGTTTCCAAAAACCAAGCCTTTCACGTTTTTCTCAGAGATCTGAACCCTAAAGCTAGGTAAAAATTAAATATCATGATTTTTAAATGGGCATTATATTTCTTTAGGTTCCCTCAGAACAGGATGAAATCGTCCCTCAATAATAATCTAAAGTCCTTTTTGCCAAATGTTAGTGATCAATAATGAAGGAAACTTACGAATTTTTTGCGAATTTAGTTTGTGTGGCTAAACTGTATAGAGTTTCTGATAAAGAATAAATACATTTCTCTTCTACTTGTGGAGTAAATGGCACTCGAATAAATGGAGGCTTGAATATTTTAGATCCTGCCATGGCTTTTGTATTCATTGATTTGTATTGAAGTGCAGTGAACAGCCGTTTTCACTATCGCGTTAAAGGGTCTGAATATCTGACATAAATTAAATAAACCTTTTCCATGAACCTGTCACTAATTGGCAAAACATTAAGGATTTTCAGAACAAATGGCCACGTGAAAAAACCCCGTGACCTATCGAAACGCTAAGTATCTTTGAATTCGCTAAAGACGGCGAGATCTTTGAGTCCAATTTCAAATCGATCAGTCTATCCTTGTTCAACAATACGTAAATATTCCCGCTACGCTACTTGAGTTAATTTTGTTTCAAGTTATAATTGTAGACTAGGAAATCGACAAACTACGGTTCCAGTTAAAAAAAAAAAATAATAAAGGCATGTTTATAGTGGAATGTGCACTTAGCTAGTCAGCTGATTTACAGGCACTCCACTCAAATATTTAGAAACAAATAATTCAAATACAACATAACAGGATTAAAAACCCCAACTGGCAGAAGGCAACCAGTTGGCTATTTACAAGCGTGGTCGAGAATTTAAACTCGGGACGACCGAGCACAAATCCAGCAAGTGGCCAGAGCGGGACTCGAACCCGGGACCGCCGGATTGCGAGTCCGACGCGCTGACCACTCGGCCAGGCTGCCTCCCAGTTGCTACGATTCACAGCCATATCACAATTTACGACAAACAAGTATTTACAGTCTAAATCAGACGATCTTACTATATTGCGTAAACAATTTCAGCGATAAATGAAGCAGTCGTACAAACAAATAACAAGAAAGCGGCGAACTTCAGCTTGTCGGTGTTTACTGGTAGGTAGAAAATTATTTTTTTGCTGAATTTTCAACAAAATCGTAAAAACCCACTTGACAAAATCCCCGAAATGTTTGTAAATTGTAAACAAAGTAACGTTTTTAGTTTACAAAAAAGTTACTTTTTTCATTTTTATCCAACTGATTTGGTAAATACTAAAACAACTATCCCCCTAATGGTCGGTGAACAGCGCTTGATATATACCTCTACGGGTCGCGTCTCGGTTTTTTTTTACACCACTATTCACCTCCCCTTCTGGGGATAGTTGTATACTGATTACTCACAGCTGACGCCGGCGTAAAACAAAGAAAACAAAACATCCTCAAAAATGAACCTAACCCTGACAATAGTCCATAAAACAAAGAAAACAAAAAAAATTATGTTACACCGGGGATGACCCTGAAACAACAGATTGAAGGATTCTAGTTGTTGAAAACATATTAAATCATGGTGCAAATGTCCTGTTTTCCCAGCTCCGGCCAAAAAGCACAGACAAGATTTTCTAGATACATGGCTTTTTTCGAAAATCTTACCGCTACGTTTTTGTCTGGTACCCAGGAAAAACATTTTCGTGATTCCAAAAATAAAATGTAGCGGTGAATGTAGCAAGGTTTGATAGGGGTCAGGAAAAATCCCTTTTATATGATAACAAAATACAGTACTCTACTCCGTGCCATAGCCGGCCTAGCCAGCACCCTCTCCCCTCGCGTGTCTCCCTCTCTCGCGCCCGTTCTTTCTTGCTCCTACTACTTCCAAGCGCCTGCTACGATGGCTATCCGTGCCATTGTTAGAGTGATTTTACCTTAGCCGTAAAATTGGCAGTAGGCTATAAATACGCAGTATTACACTATTATTTCATTGTTTTCTTTTTGTTTCTCAGCTTGTAACTATTTGGTACTCCTGGGTACTATGTATTACATGATGTTTCAAGGGTTAATTACTCACGGATAACTCTACTCACAAAGCAAACCCTTCACAAACCAGGATTACATGCTTTACAAATATGACTAATTATTGAAGTGACTGCGGAAAATTGAAAGTATGTTTATCTAATAATTCAGTTCTCGACGCAGGAAGTCGAACTTAAGATTTCTCCGCAGAGGCAAGACGGTAACAGTGAAGGAACAGTCCATTATCACATGACTGTGCACTTCCTGATCGACTGCTTAACATCATCAAAAAGCTTGATCCAAACTTTGTTTCCACTCTCTTTCTTAGCTACACTTGCAATGCGGGCATTCATCATGTCGACGGTAACCGTTACGACCATCGTGATGCTCCAAGCAAGAGTCGTTAAAAGACTTTGCCGCATGATTAGTGTTTTGCGCCCGCTCTGGGCTGGCTACTTCATCCCTTAGCTTTATAATCTGGTGGTCAAGAAGAGAACGTACAAAACCATTACCACGGTATACTTATGAGTGTTCCTGTACGCGGGGAAGTTAATTTATACTATGAAAAACAAACCATTTTTAATTAGTCTTTTGCTTCTTGGAATTGCTATCGCAGCAAAGGTGATATCACAGTTGCGTCTGATTGAGGCGTAAAGTGTTCACTGGTTCACTAGTCCGGAAGAGCACTCCCTGAACTGGCCTAAACGGAGGGGCTCTGCCCGAATGGGAACCCTTTTTCAGGTATATGAAAGAATAGGCAATTCGCTAGATGAAGTATATCAAAGGGTAAGAAAATCTATCATCTATTTAGAAGAGCCTTTATTAAAATGTTTCAAAAAGACGCGCATTATGGCTATATCATTGAAATGTATTAATATAACATCATGACACGAAAACGACAAGCATACTACATGTTTTAGCGATTTATTCTTCTTCAATAGGCTTGTTAAAGCTGTATCATTTTTCAGCGGAAGGAATACGAAAGGAGCTAGTGGTAGGATATCTGGGCGGAGCCTCCCCACGAGGTTCACTGAGCTGTGTGTTTGTTTGTGATTTAGGTTTTTAGTGAACTGTTTCACAGTATGTGGCTCAAAATACGAAGAAAAAAGACATTGATAGTTAGGACCAAGTTTTGCGACCTCCTTCCGAGATGTTTTGAAGTGCTAAAAGTTTTTGCAACAGATCTTCTAATGCGATTAGAGCCGTTTCAACGGTTTTAAGTTGTTAATCTGTCCTTTGTCCCATTAAAGCGGCATCTTGAATAAGAGCTATTGGTTCAATAGCCCACGTTCGATATATTAAAATGCTAACATGACTCCGAGGCTTGCTGTTCATTTTTCAATATTTGAATCGGTTTTCTTTGTGCTTAAGTCTCTTCTGGAAAATGCGAGACAATGGAGTTGTGAAAGATTTGCAATTTGTCCCTAAAGCCTCGGGGTCATGTTAGAAATTTAATATATCGAGCGTGGGCTATTATTAGTAGAAAAAATCTTTCCGCATCCAGAAAAGAAAACGGTAACAATTTTTCAGCCTTGGTAGACAGATTCAGGAGCCTAGGCTTCTGACAGATTATATATTTCCGTGTTTGAGAAATCAAATCCGTCAGTTGACCTGAAATATTGCCAAACCCTAAGGATCCCCTCCCTTTTTCAACTACTTTTTTGCTGGGCCGAGTGGTTCATAGTGGACAGTTTCATTTCGCATACAAAATCATAACTATTAAGAAACGCATAAATGACAGAAATCACATAATGGGGTTGAGAAATTTTTGGTAAGGGACATGTACGAAGTCCAACGCTAACGTTAACATCCTGGTCAAGGCTTCCAGTCCAGAAAGACACCTTGGATTGACGACGCTAGATGAAATTGTACACGCTAGCTGCATAAGACGTAATATTTCGAAACTGAACTATTCATTTCCTAATTGGGCGGTACATACCCATTTAGGCCTAATAAGGGTGTCCCCCGGGAGAAGGTGACCTCGACCAGCTCGACCCTAACTTTATTTCAGTATTACGTTTCTCACCTTTGGCACGAACAACAAAAGCAGCGTAAAAGTAGATACGGCATTAAACAATGTTCCAAACAACGCGAATTTAGCGTCAATATTTCCATGGTCAATAACAAAAGACAAAGGAACAGTGATCAGTGTCATAATAACAACGTTGTAAACACTCATGCCGATATACTTGGAGTCGTTTAGAGAGGCCAAAGTAACATTTCGTGTTTCCCAGGCAAGAAAAAGCCCAATAACCAGGAAAGGACTCTTCCATATCGCCCAGAACATGTACCACAGGCTCCTGTAATTGAGAGTGCAATTTAGAACTTTGCCGTGAGATATCTCCCGGCCATCTGGGGTTGTTTCCTGCAAAAATGTAGTAACAAACTAAAATCACGACCTTTTCTATTATCACCGCACACTTGTCGAAAAATTCCACAATTACTATTCCACTATAAGAGTGAGTCTTTCCATAGTATCAATAGAAACGATTACTAATTTGCTGGAGCAGAAAAAGACAATCGTGTTCGAGTACTGATGATTATTTGCGACTGAAAGTGAGAGATTAACCCTGGCAGTAACATAGAGACAACGTGCTGCCTCCATCGTGGAACAAAGCGGGGGAAGCAGATTTTGATCTCTGTTAGTTTAATTTTGGCGACTGTTGATTGTTGGTGTTTCATAGATGTTTATAGCTAACCTGTATTTATCATTAGATTACAAGATCGGTTTTAGATTGACGTCACCCACTTTTCTTCACTTCTGTTTAGTACTTGCGCACTCGATTCGTCAGCCTTAGAAGTTCTTTTTTCTGGCAGATGCAGCTTCTAAACTCCGTCAAATAAATAAATAACTCTCTTTGATTTCACCCTCTCCGGGACGAGGTTATCAGTTAGATAGTTAAAACGTTTTTGCAAGCTAACCTCTTTACCCACCAAAGAACACATTCCTCAGCTCTCTGTTTACATATTTTACTTCTTGGCGATATCAAACAGGTTTTGTTCATTTTCCTTTCTTGTTCATTTCTTGCTTACTTTACTTACGTACCCTGCCTAAATGTTGCACGTAACTTGTAATAGGATCTGCTATTTCCCAAGCTGTAATGTATACCACATCCAAACAAACAAGTCCAAACACAATGGCCAACAAGTGACGATCGTGAAGCATACCCAGCTGGAAAGATAAAGAGAGAAAAGCAACAATCGTTATCTGAGGGAATAAAATTCAATATGTCTAATTACCATTAGATGCAAATTTTTCTTCTTTTTCATTGGTCGAAAGCTAGCCCACCACGTGGCCTGCCAATAGCTGCCTAGAAATAGTGGTCTGCTTATGCACAATGTCGTCCAACCGTGTTTGGCTGCGAATAATATTCTGCCCATGCGTAAATGAAACCACGTTTTTCTGCTCCTTGCGGTTGCTCTTGCGTGAAAATGGCAGATCGTTTTACTGACATTTCAGAGAGTGATTTTCATTTAAAAACAAACTCAGTGACCGAATGATAAAACAATTATTGAACTCGGCCTCGCAAAATATCTTGATTTTTCAGTGGTGACTCCACTGACAAATCCTGATATTTTGCTCAACCTCGTCCAATAATTGTTAATTATTCATTGAAAATATTTTCCGATCTGCCAAATTCTTCAGTTCATGATGTCGTATGAAATAATTGTTAAATAACCATCGATGTACATGGTCGATATTACAATCTATTAGATTTACTTACAATTGAAGACTAACTAAATTAAATAAAAATAATGTGCAAGCTAGGAAGCTAAATGAGCCAGTTAGTTTTCTTGTTAGCTCCCTGAAACCAAACCAACAAAATGAAAACTTCGTTGTCTTTGAAGCCTTTCTCAAAATGGCACTAAGGAAATTAAACTTTAACGTCTTATCTGATATTTATGGCGTCTCCTCTTTTGGTCCATACCTTGTCTTCGATAATTTACTGAGGAACTTTGTTATGTTTTTCACTGACAATTAGTAACATTACAGTGCATGTACCACTGACACGGTAGCGAGAATCAGGTAAAACACTTTTTATACTCCGTCAGGAACTTGAGGTCCTTGAGCAAAACAGGATTGTCATTTACTTAATTAAATGAAACACAAACTAGGAGGTCACTTTTAAAACTACCTGTTTACAAAGCTGCTTATTGGTAAAAATTTTGTAAACTCTCCAAGTCTTTACAAACATCGTGCCAAAGGCGAGAGTGAAGCTGAGAGAGCACATCCCCCGTCTAACCTATTATAAACAAAATGGATCAGTTTTTGAACAGTTAATATTATAGGTGGCGGTAGGTGATTGATTAAGAGGATTGTTATTAATCTTTTCTCGTAAATTAAAAGCTGAGGAAAACCCGGCTAAGCTGATTGAAAACATCCTCTACTGATTTCCTCTGTAAAGATAAAGGAAGAGGTCTACTTTGATACTCTCTTTATATTGGTTTTTAATTACTTTATGACGTCGCATTCCCTGGGGGAGAATGAGTCAATGATCGCGCTGTTTCGAGTGACGTCAGCGCACTCGATCCAATGCAAGCGCCGAAATACTGAGAAAACCAACCTGTCGTAGCATTGAAAAAAGGGAGCAAAGGCAATTCTGATTGGAACTAAAGAAGTTGAATACCGGTTTAACCTGAAACAAATTTTAGCTACAATATTCACTTACCTTACAGATGACAGTATGTGTACCACGTGACTCAACAAAAGCCTCTGCTCCGTACAAGAACACACAGCAATAAAACAGCAAACAGCCTGTCACAATGACATTGTTGAGCCTAGGCGATGATTGCCTTATTACACTGAAAGAAAGATACCGTATGTATTCGATTAACCCACCTCGAATAACCGCCCCTATATGTAGGAAACGTTAATGAGCTACCAGCCTCCAATAAGCGCTCACCTACCTAATCCCGCCCGACCCCCCAAACATGACCTTACTGACAAGGACAATGAAATTAAGTGGTACTGATAAATTTCCCCAAATACCGAGTTTTCTTAGTATTTTACAGAAACTTTCCATGGACGGTTACAATTCTGCCTTGGTACATCGCCACGTTTTGTCATTATTTATTGTTTGTTGCCGAATACACTTACTACTTACTGAAAATAGGGAAAAGCGCCAACCTCGAATAACCACCTACTTTCTAGATCCAAAAACTTTTGATAGGCGCCCCGGTCACTCAATCGAGTAAAAATACGGTAATGCTGTCATCAACTGTTATCCCATAATGACAGACTACAACTGCAGTGAAACCTGTTTATAGCAGCTACCTTCTGGGCTTATGAACTGTTGGCCACCTGGTAGAGATAGCCGCTTCATGTAGGATCATAGAAATACTCATTAAGCGTGGTCTTTAGCCGCCGCCTGGTTAGTTCAGTTGGGACAGCACCGGTATGCTGAAAGAGAGGTCGCGGATTCAAACCCCGTTCGGACCGACACTCAGGGTCTTTAAATAACTGAGAAGAAAGTGCTGCCTTTGGGAATGACATCTAAAAAATATTTTAGTTAGACTTTCTCGTCTTCTCAGATAATAACTAAAAACCTTAGGTCCTGTCTCACAGCACTTTCACTTTTCTGGTTCTTGAGGGACGTAAAAGAAAAAGAACCCCCACCACTGTTCGAGAAGAGTTTTTGTACTGAAAGAAAATCGGTATAGCTGTACCGGTTTGAAAAGTGCACTTTACGTAGGGTGACCGCCATAGCGGGTCATTATATGTGGTACCACCGTCTTTACTTTCTTGTCTAAAATAGTGGAGCGAATCCCAACCCCGAACACACGAAAAGTCGCCTATACTAATAACTGAGAAGACTCAGCAAACTTAACTTTACAAACAAGATAAAAAAGCTCTTGCTGTAGTCTGTATAATCTATATCTAGCAGCAGTGGGGAAAAATTAAACGAGATAAGAATCTTCAGATACTCAAGAATTAATATTCGAAAGTTTTGTCCTACCGTTATTGAAAAATACTATTGGAACGATCTCCCCATTTCTATTCACAATAAATCATCAAAAATCCTTTTAAAAATAGCACTTAAAAAATGTTATCTTGCTCAATATTGACTTATGTGCGTGTGTGTGTGCGTGCGCGCGTGTTTGTGTTTTAATGAATAACAAAGCTATAATAGAATAAAGTCAATTTTGTTCAAGGGCCATAATTAGTTTTACTATAATGTGCCCTTCTCCATTCTATTTTTTCTTCTTTTTTTTTTCTTATGTACACGTAGTTTAAACAACCTTGTACTAATTAATATCGTAAAACTAATGTATTATGATAGGATGGAGTAAAAATAAAATACAAATACAAATTAAGATAAACATGATATTTTAACATGCGTTTTTGGAAAACAGAAAAGGACTGAAGAAAGATGATCTAGATGAGAAGCCTGCAAATACAGCCGTCCCTTTTCGCTACTCGCCACTCGGCTAGCAGAAGACAGCGAGGGAGAGACGGCTGTATTTGTAGGCTATTGATGAAGGAGACGGGAGAGGACAAGCCCCTCTACGTTACAAGGAATTACTTGTTTATTATATCTTCTTTGAATGTTTGCAAATGTCATCAGGCACGTTGAGTACTTGCCCCTGCTGTAGAATATGGAAGTATCTGATTTTCTATCACGATCTTTGCTTCTTCAAGAATGTAGTTACCTGTGAAACCTGAAGTGATAGTTGACAAAAAGTAATCCAAAAGCTGTGAGCAGCCCTGTTGCAGCCACGGAACTCATCACATAAAACAGCGTCAAGTTTGTCTTGATTAAACGTTCGTTTAAAGGATCCTTGTCTTTGGGAGGTTTTCCATCTGAAGAAGATATTAATTGAGTTTTCACAACAAAATGTTACTATTGTTTATTCGCAAATCATCAGCAGCATCCTCGAAGTAATAATCATTGTTATATTCTCATTTTCATTATTATAACAAGTAAGATCGTATCAGGCCATTATAATAGTCATCCAGTAGGAGCGCGGTATTTTCAGTACGGAAATGACCTAACTTATTTTGTAAGTTATCACAAAGAAGTATGGCTTCGCCTTCACCACGCAAGTGGTCGATCAATAGTTATCTTAATAAAATTTGGTGGTACCCGGGATACATAGATAAAGTAGATGTGTCTAGGACTAAGCCCTTAAAATCCTTAAATTGAACTTGGCGTGCATGTTTGCACCAGTCTGGAACACAATGCATGGACAGAATTGAACCTTGAACACAAGACAGGCCTAAACTAAGATTTCCTATTTTCCGAAACAAAATTTCGACTAAAGGCGTGAAGGCGACCCAGATGTGCCTGAGTTCCCACAGGCCCCAATTATTCCAAGGGTGGATAATAACGCTTTCCACTGAATAATTCTCTATCCAGTGAATAAATGACGCGATTGCTTTTTTAGCGGAGCCTCCATAATTAAGAGAAAATGGAAAACTATCGATACCAGAAAATTTGGTTATGGCGTCACCGTACGTCCGTCTGTACGTACGTACGTTCTTTCCGGGTAGGGGTAAGTAGAAACAAATTCATCCCCTCTCCTTAAGAGAGTTTTGGTCCCTATTGTTTCAAAAGGCTTTAGAAATGATTGACAGATCAGAGTCTATCTACTGAGTAATAATACTAATAATGAACTTTATTAAAGTCTCATGTCTTATCGCTCAGCCACAGTGCCTTACCAATTGGAGAGAATGTTTCGTGGATTTTAGCGGCCGACCATTTGACTTTTGAGGGGGTTATGGGTGATTTTAGAAAAAACATGTCCCGCAGACTGATTTCGAAATAACATCCAGCACTTACAAAAATATCACTCATGGCGTATAATGCTGAAAAAAAACTTTGGATCGTTATATGTTATGTTATGTTATGTTATGTTATGTTATGTTATGTTATGTTATGTTGTGTTATGTTATATTGATCACAAAGTTGACGTTATTCCGCCATACCTGGCCATGTGAAGTTCTCTCCAGCGAAGAAGGTGAGTTCTCCCTTTCTTAAGTTGTGACGTTCGGGATCAAAGTAACCCACTTTGACTTCTTTATCTCCTAAAAAAGTTATAATAAGTTACTTACTTTAATTTATCAGCAGCAGAGTCTAAATTTACTTGAGTTTTCAAACAAATGACTTAATTCGTTAAGTGTGATTTTTACAGTCTACAATTCTTTATTGAAGGCTTAAGTTACCTTGAAACTGTTTAATCCAAATCATGTTAAGTCTTTCTTGGTTTTTATCGAACTTTATGAATCCCTGAAACCAAACCAACTGGTTAACGCTGTGACCATAAACTTAACAAGTAGTGATGGTTGCTTGGAATGGTTCAGAATGCTTACTAGAACTTGGCAGAAATAAGACGTGAAAACAGTCCATGAAGATAGGGACAGTGCACACCTTGTATTTTTTTTCAAGGTGAATAATTAACAATCATTCCACGAGGGCGCGTTGGATATGAGATAATAGATAGCCAACGAGGCGCATAGCGCCGAGTTGGCTATAATCATTTCATATCCAACAAGCCCGAGTGGAATAATTGTTTTATTAAAAACGCCCACAAAATCTCGTTGAATCGCCCCAACTAGAACAAACCGGAAAAGACAAGGGACTTCCGCTATTGACATGTCACACGTCTATCAAAACTGTCAACGCGCGAACGGACTCGCCTAGACTGCATGAATGAAAAATCAAAACATTGTGGCGATGAACATTAGTTTTTTAAAAAATCATCGTGATTCTAGGATTTTACAAAGCAGAACAGCTTAAAAAACCTGGCAGATAATGTGAAGGAAAGGAATTTTTAAGTGACAGCCGTCGAAATTACTATGAATTTGGATTTTCGGTGCAGTTGTAAAAGTAATAACAACGGAGAAAAACTACCGGTATTACCTCGGTCGCTTGTTATGAAGTTGTTTGAAGCCACACGCTGGTTTTGCTGAACGAGAAAAGAATCTATACTGCCGCCTCGATTGCTCTAGTGAATGGCTGCATAGCCTGTATTTGTAGCTGGTTACTTGTGATTTATATTCTTGATGTCGGATAAACAAGCTGCAGTTATCTATCGGCGAGTGACTCGATCGGCGAATGGCTTCGCGATCATGAAGAAACAACACTTGTCTTCTTTCGTAGCTGGTGTACAGTACCGCAAATGATCCCCAACCGCAAATGATCCCCAAAATGGACCGCAAATGATCCTCGACCGCAAGTGATCCCTAAAGTCGACCGTAAATGATCCCGTGAAAACTTGAGGAATGGAATGGATTTTATGGGACTGATTACAAAAAACGACTGATTATAAAAAAGAAACCTTTTTCTCTCGCCTTTTAAAGAAGAAGGGAAGGAGGACGCTACATCTCAGGTCAATTTATACAAGGCGAAAAAAAAAAAATGGAATAAATCTGAAAAGGTATGGTATTAACCGTATACTTCTTCCTTTTTCGATTGTTTCAATTTTCTTTCAAGAATGTTTCATATTTTGAAAAATTTAAGACAGGCAGGACGTTACGCAGAAAAATTATTTTTAACGCCTAGAAGCTCAACTTTTCTACTGAGGAATACAAAGCCGGGCACCCTCTACCTAACAAGAGCTTTATTGACTTTACTGATCTTTTTGAAAGCGTGAAATTAATCAGCCAGAATATTTCATTTTGATTTTTTTCTGACGTGTTAATTTTACGTGATAAACCGCAAGACATTTGTTCCTAACTTAGGTGCTCGTTACGAAACAAGACATGATTTAACATAAACACAAGTCAAAATGCCCCCGAACTTATCAATGTCCACAGGTTTCGGTTTATTTCGAAATAGCAACTTTCTTACATCTCATGAACGTGTTGTGAATGGTTATATTAGCGTTTTTATGTATGTTCATTTGTTGTGCTTTGCTGAAGACAGTTACCAGGAATCTAAACCTGGTAATGAGAAACGCAAAGCCAGGTAAGCAGTAGTTATCGCGTGACAAAACATCGTAAGAAACCGTCACATTCACGGACTAAAACAAAATCGCTTATGATTATTTCGATCCAGGAGGCACTTAGGAGAAAATTAAACAACCTAAAACCCTTATTTAGCGGCAATGAAGAGCACTGCATTTCAAAAGAGGCCAAAGGAAATGCTCTTGCATCAAAGGGCAAATCATGCCGACCAGAAACAACAATAACCGCGGAAAATGAGTGTCATGACCTCTCAGTATGAAATAAGCGGCAAAAATCCTATTTGCTCAGTCAAAACGTTTTCCTCAGACTACCCGCCAGAGCAGGAAAAAAGTAATTGGAACAAGCAGCATTTAGTTTTTATTCATATATTTATTTGAGAAGTAAAATTTAGCTTTTAACCTGACTTATTGTAATAATAATAAAATCGACACGATGATCCGCTAACTTGAGTCCAAGTCATTCCCATTTTTCTTTCGGGATCATTTGCGGTCGACTTTAGGGATCACTTGCGGTCGAGGATCATTTGCGGTCCATTTTGGGGATCATTTGCGGTCTCGGGATCATTTGCGGTTGGGGATCATTTGCGGTACTGTACAGCTGGTCAAGGTACTTTAGTTCCATGTGTTTTCATGTGTTTTTCGACAAACTTTCAAACAAGCTCTTGTGGCTTTTTTGTTTGTTTTTGTCTTTTTTCTTTCGTTGAAATTGCATTTCTAGTATTCTAAGAAATGAATTAAAACGATTTGCTTCGGACGCCGTTCTATCCTTCCCGAAAAAAAACTCAGCTACCTTCCAATTTTAAACTGACGCGTACAACGACCATATATGGAGAACATGGTATATTAGCTCATATACCATAACGGCTAAGCCAATCAAAATGCTAGAATTGCATTATCCAATGTTCAGTTTTTAATAATGACATTTATTTAATAACTATGAATTTGGCCGCTGAGGCTTTTAGTCAGTTTAAAAAATTTTCTGTTTGGTTGCTTATGAGCAAACAAAAGGGAATGTTTTTAGGGAAGAAAGTGTTACTTAATCCTATCATAATGATATGAAGAGTAAAGGAAAATTCAGTTCCCAGGTTGGAAATACGTATTATACACAAGCTTTCGATTCCATAGCGGAATCTTTAGCAGATAGTAATGGCGTTCCAAAGTTAATGCTTGTTTAATAGGTCTTTTACCCCGAAAATTTCCCACTCAAAACCCGCATTTCAGATATTAAAGAACAGACAAAATAGGAGAACGACACGTACAAAACCACATTCCTTACTAAAAAAAGGCGAATTTTTCGCCCTTGAATTATTGGTCTTAGGATCTAAGGAATATCACAGATATATTAGAGAAACATAAACAAAGCCATGCGTACCGAGATTCCACTCAAGTTTGTTCGTAAGAGCACACTGCGTAATTCCTGTCTAATGCTAGCACTCTTGTACGAGAAGTTATCAAAAGACATGTTCTTTTCTTTTAGCTGCATCACAGTTTTCTCCAGAGCCGAGGCTAGTACCCAGGCCGAGTCATATCCAAAGACAGCATAGGAGTTGTTCGGGAAGGAGTAATTTTGAAGCTCTGCTTCATACATCGTTAAAAACTCGTCTACTGTCTAAAGTGAGCGAATGATACGAAAATTAAAGAAATCATAACTTGTACTCATTCATGTCATCGGGACTTGCCGTAGCAAGAGGATTCCCACTTTACCATCCTACATTCGTCTCTTCCATTCATAGATGGGGCAGTGCGTGTCTTCCACCAGTTGGGAAATAAACAGCTCACAATTTTTAATTTATCGTTATCATCATTTGTTTGTTTGTTTTGTTTTGTTTTTGTTTTTTGTTTTTTTGGATTGGCCTTTCTTCAAACCTTGAAGAATATGCCTTGAATACCAAAAAACGGCCGACAAAAAGTCGGCAACCTTTCAAACCTTTAAATGTTAGAAGACACTAGAAATTGATCAGAAACGTTCGCATAGACCGCGTAAATCTCTTTCGGAAACTTGCATAACAAATTTCGATTGCTGCTTATTAAACAGAATAAATGAGACTCGTGGATGACAGCTTGTACATGTGTAGCTCATTGCTTAGTTGAAGATCGGAGGTGAAAACCTTAATCGCGGGTAACAGCTGCTTTAATTATCTATATGGTGGTAAAAATTAAAAACGTCTTACCAGGCCACTGAGGGTGTTAACTGTGTTATTTATATAACCTTCTTGAACTGCAAGAAAGTTTCTCGCCACCCGTCGAATTTCCTCCACCGAGCAGCCTGAGAAATTTCTAACTTTCCACCAGTCTTTACTGTACCATCCGGGGATGATCCATTGAATATGAGATCCGAAAAAGTTTTGACGATGAGCCTTTTAGACAAAACAAAAATGTATTGGTTACCACACAGCAAAGTGTACGAAGGCCCTTTCAGTTAAAACCTCTAAACAGTAACTCCGAGGAGATGATCTATTAATGGGACACAGAGGGATATGTGAATTTCACCAGTTGAAAGTTATTTTTAGATCGATTAATCGGAAGTTGGTGTCCGGAGAGGTCGGCAAACTTTCATTAAGTCTTGTCAAAATAGAATAATGAGCGACACTATCATCATCATCATTTTTTTTATTAGCCTTTTTTTTACAGCAAATTTTACAGGATACAGCAGGTTGTTAGGCGAGGAGACCTCAAGAAACCACCAGGCTTATAAAGAGAGGCCCGCACCTCGACATCACAATATTATAAAAAATAAGGGCTGCGAAGAAGTGCGGCTAAACTAATTTAGTAACAATTTTAATTAAAACTCTAGCACTTTGTTCTTAAAGATAGAAAAGTTTGACAAGTTTGTAACAGATGCAGGAAGACAGTCCCAGGTTCTAGGTCCTTGGTAAAGAATTGTGAATTTCTTGATGTTCGACTACGACAGGAATGCACGTGATAATTACTAGCTGTTCTGGATAAAATACCGATTGATTTAGCGATTTGTTTACAGACAAAGTTTATGTGATATTTATGTGAAATTTTTATTTGTCCCCCTTAGTGTGTAACCATTACAGTATTATTCATTTTTTTGCTTTGAGGCAGTCGCGCGTGAACTTGATAAGTTTCAAACAAACTGTTAAAATATGCGGACGACCCAGGAATTGTACTTCCGTTTAATCAGTACAACCTCTAAAAAAGACTTCAGTGAAATTCACATATCCCGGCCGAGGCCCTAAGATTCCCTTTCTGTCCCATGCATTATTCTGTATTCTGTATTGTTATTACTGAAGACACTATCTCTTCTGGATAACTGCCTTCTAGATTACAGCCTCTTAGATCACCTAGATTCTTTACATCATACGAAAGCCGAACTACGCTAAAAATATGATAATTACGATAAAAAAAATAAACCACGTTTTCTAGAGGACCATGTACAATGTACATGCGCCATATTTATTCCATCAAAAAATAGGACAAAAAAATGCATTATACTTGAGTGTCAATGTGTTTGGCACTAATTGAAGACTCTCCTTCAGTGGGGACGGGAACACCATTTTACTTGATCATCCGAGCCACGCGAAGGTCCAGCCGTTTGTAGGGCAAAGGAAGTACCTTCATTTCTCCGTTATTTAAAGACCATCAGTAATGGCCCGGCCCAGGGAATCGAACCCTCAACCTCCCACTCTGTCACGAGCTCTACCGACTGAATTTCTCTGACAAAACGCTTTGACCGCCGTGCTTTACATTCAGTTCATTATAATAGCATTACATACCTCACACATGACCATTCTCGATTTGTCCTCGTACATCAAGATGACAATAATACGAGCTCTTCTATTCTGTGAGAGAAAACATGGGTAAGTTTGCAACTTCTTTGTTCTCAAAAAAAGGACGAAGTAATTAATAGATTCTAACTCATCGTGTCTTGAAAAAGAAGTTTTCTTTAAGTAGAAGGAACTTTTTTCTGCTCAGAGCTAAGTGGTGTTTCGCGTAACATTTTGCGCTAGCTTTCGCTCGGAATATACAATGATGATCTCAGCGAGTCAAAACCCTCTTACGGCTACACCGCACGCTTACGCTCGCTCCCCTACAGGAGAGCCATTTTTAAATCTTTCAGGCTAGTAAAACTCACAAAAAGGGGTAACAAATGCTGTCAGCAATTTTTGGCCTTCTTCATTGATTCACAGTATATCTACCCAGCGTCCTGCTGGTAGCGTCAAACAAATAACTAAAAAAATAAGCTTTTATAGTTGTTAAGTGTGTTAGATTTCTTTCTCCACTATTAAAGATGAGCGTTTTAGTATGGTGTTGCTAGCCGAAGATGAAACATACGTCCAGCGGTCCAGTTTATAGTCTTAACAGTCTTCTGTTCAAGAACGAAAATGTTCGCCCCTTTCTTCATTTCTCAAGGGCCTGTTGTTAAAAAAGCAACACTCCCTGCCACATATTACACAACTTCAGTTTTTCCAAAGATTCTCTCACGTATTCTCCTGCAAGTCAAAAAATGACTTGAACTCGGGTCTAGAATCCATTGCATCACCACAATGTGGCTCCTCACAAAGGACACCTAAAAAGGACTACTGTGCTCACAATGATATCCATTTGATAGAAAATTCACCATTTTCACCCTCCTTGAATTTGCTGCTTAACATTTACGCCTCGTTTCCAGAAATCAAAACGGCCTTTAAATATTTTTTCAAGGATCCGACACATTGCCAAAACTGTCCATGGCCATACCTGCTCAAGACTGCCAGCGGTAAATGCTTTTAGAAACTGAGATAAGGCTGCAATGATGTATAGAAGTAGAAGAAAGCTAGTTTGAGAGAATGTGACTGTGACAGGCGAAAGACGGAAGTTCCGATCCACCCTCGTACTTTTGATACCTTAAGATCAGTTATGACGTTATCTGGATCCTTGACAAAGCTGTTTGCAGTAATGACGGATATCCCTTCTTTTTTTAACATTGTCTGGAGACGCTCGTGCACCTGATATAAAACAGAGAACAAAGTGGATCTCTCGTTACTCTAAAATCAATGTAAAATATTGGCGCCAAGTCAGTCATAAACAAGTAAAATCTAGTGGCCTAGCATGTGTAGTTTGTTATCTTATTAGGATGATTTAGCAACAGGACGTGAACGTCATTTGACGACGGGAAAGCGCGCGGAAAGGACTAAACTCGACTTCCGGTGCCCAATTTGCCGCTCTGCTATTGGTCAAGCCAGTTGTTTGATTTGTGCGCGCCGTCTTCAACTGACGTTCCCGTTCTTTTGCTTAATCAGCCTATTGCCCAGTCTCAAAACGTCTAGAATAGGGAAGATGAGATATTACAGAGACTGAATGTCAACTTACGTCGTTGAAGAGATCCTCGTCCTGTTTTACAATTGCAATTCGCTTCCAGTTGAATCTGTGCAGAAGTGAAACAGCAGCTTTGTACAGAGTGAATTCTGGGCCGTTAACCCGGAAGAATAACGGAAATCGACGTTTATCAGAAAGACTAGAAGAGCCGGCACTGAATCCCAACTGAAATGACAATGAATTTGATGTAATGTATGTGTTAAGTATTTTCCCTTAGTTTTTCGCTAATTAACCCTATGGCATTGTAAGTCCAGGGGCGGATCCAGGATTTTTTTTAGGAGGGGGTGCACTCGTCTCTTGCTCTACTTCAACACCAATAAACCACACAGTTTTTTTTTTGCAGTATACCAGTTGTATTAGAAAACCGCAGGTCATCTCGGTGGGGGGGGGGGGCGCACCCCCTGCACCCTCCCCCTAGATCCGCCCCTGAAGTCCTACCTTAGCTGTTTTAGGCTCTAAGATAGTGGGGTTTGGCGCGAAAGAGAGGGGAAGACGCGAAAGTGAAAGGTACGCGAAAAGGGGGACGGGGCGTTGTTTCTTCATGTTCGCGCTTTCTCAATCCCCGCGGACCCGACTATCTTGGAGCCTGGAACAGGCTAGTCCTGCCTTGATTTATATCAACAAAGGTCTTAGTGGACAATCAAACAAGGTCTTTTAAGGTGTTTCCACACAGTTCTTCAGAGGCCATACCGATTTTTTTAAATCGCCTTAAAAGTGATTTTGTCCTTGTCCGATCGGTATAAAAAAAATTTAACCACTGACTGACTTTGGATTTAAGTTTGTCAAAATGCAGTTTTAAGTAAAATCGATATTATTATGACAACAATCAACAAAAACCTTTGCATAACGATAACCCTGATACTGAAAATCCGACACCAGGAACTTAAAGTGAGGTATTTAGCAAAAATAACATCCGTGAAAAGTAAGTAAGCAAGTGCACTCGAAAATCTTAAGTTGCTCTGTAGAAAACATGGCTTCACACTTCTTGACAGAGTGTATTACTTGAAGTAAAAGCTGTCAATCTCTCCGTTCATTAGAATCTTTGTACCGCTGCACGTGCACATAGCTTCCATTTCCTATTGGTCTAGTGTGTTCTCAAGGGTGGTGTAGCCCATACTTGGCGGCGAACATCGGCTTCTTTGAACTACGAACGTTTCCATGGTCACCAAGTAAAGTTGAAGTGGGCACATTTTACCACTTCATGCTCAAAGTAGGTTCCAAGTACACTTAGATTATACTTGAAGCTCTAGTGTGAAGCCAACAATTGTTAACGTTCTACACTCAAAAGATGCAATAAACTTCATACTGAAATGTACTATAGTCATGGAGGAAGGCATGGTGCACATTAATTTGGAATAATTTTGAATTTGAAATATTAGCATAAACAGGATTTTTGGGTTCGTAGCCTGGGTTCGTCTTGAAACTTCAAGTTGTTGTAGTGAATCAATCTTAATGAAGATTTCACACATTGTTATATACGTCATGAGGGTATACCGCTGGGGCAAGAATAAAATCACATTAAAGGCTATCGAAAAATATCGGTATGGTCTCCGAAAAACTGTATCGAAACACCTTAAAAACAAAATAAACAAAAATATGATGACTATGTTTAAAAGCCGGTCTTAGGCTCGTTTCAAACGTCGGTCTACTGCCGTGCCGAACTCAATTGATCGAATTAAATTCGACTTTAGCACGGCAGTAGTGCGACGTTTGAAACCAAGTCGTGTTACCGCCGTGCCGAGCACAATTCATAAATTATAAATACTTTAGAAAAATATTTAAAAGTTTGCTAAACCGTTTCTTTATTTTTGTGTTTTGTTTTCGGCAACAGCCAGTCTAGTCGACTGAATTAATTTCGACGTCTAAAACCAAGTCGTGCTAATGTTGTGCTGCAGTAGAGCTGCACACCAGTCGAGCCAGCTTAGCAGGGCTGTAGCACGACGTTTGAAACAGGCCTTAGCTTAGATAATTGCGTAAAAAAAGTTAAGCGGTTGGCCTCGTCTCCTTGTCAAAAAAAAAACCGCGCTGTCCAGAACGGATTTGGAAATGGGACAGTGTACCTTGGTGAGACAAAGGGAAAACAATGGAGAACATTTGCTGGAGGTCGTGACTGTTCTCACAAGGGAACTTAAACACCAGACGTTCTTGGTACCGCGGACGCTAACCGGAAGTATTATTGCAGCATGACAGCTACTCCGCATGTCAAGAAGTTCTTGGGCTGCGGTCACGGACTTCAAAACGCGAGTTCTCAGGTTGAAACCAGAGGTTCAGAAACGTGAGTATGAAGACAATTAAAATTGTTTACATTTGATGTCCAATATAACAGTTTTTAATACTTGTATGTTCTTTTGTCATGTTAGAACTTTAAAAGCGTAGTAGACGTAGACATTTTCAACTGAATTATTCTGTCGGCATTCGTGAAGGCTTCACGTTGGTTTGCTTAATGATTTGCATTTGGCGCGTAAACCGCGTCCCCGATCCAGTTGTGCGCGGCCAGCTATGCCGTTCGTGAATCAAGAACATCTGGTGCTTAAGTTCCTTACTTTTACCACTACGCGAACCTTTCCCCTTTATCAAGTGATTTACCCAAGACTACAATGCCCCGACCAAGCCACCTCCTAAAAATGGAAACTTCCCTTGTTAACTGGGTCTGCTCCTTACACTGCTTACTATACTCATGGCTCTTGGCCAAATCTCTTCATTGGGTGTTGTAGCCATCTGAAACCAGCTTGATCAAAATTCTCGACAAATTGACAGTAATTATAAATTGACACCGGTAAAAAGCTATTGCATGTGACAAACCTAGTCTCACTCGCAGCCACTTTTGTCGCGTCACGCAAGGCTAAGGAGGAACGTTGCGTGACGAGACTAAAACGACTGCAAGGGAGACTAGTGACAAACCTGAATCAAGTTCCAAAAGTGTGAGGCAGCCGCCACAAGCACAGCTGAGATAGAACATCCGGGACCTATCAATGCTACTTTGGTCGGTGGTTTCCGTAGCTGCTCAACGAGGGCTTTGATGGCGTAGGCATCTGAACACTAATACAAATATTATATACTAATACAATGCTTATATATAGCGATTATCATAACGTCTCTAAGCGCTGTACAATTCTAATGGCCAAGTTTTAAATCAAGGACCTACTAATAATTAATTGCAATCCTATACCTTTCGGCCACCACTACTCTAAGCTTTTTATCAATACTTGTTAGAATCGCATAATAAAGTAAAATCTCGCATTCTGATTGGTTAACGAAGCGAGGTATTTAGTGTGGAATTGCGAGTTGAAAACGAGGCTAAGCGATATTGTTTCGCATCTACGTAACAACTATCGTCAAATTCTAACACAACAACATGCAAAAATGGTTTTCTATGTCATTTTAAAATGTTTTCAAAACCATTCATTGTCACTTTTTGAAGAGTTAAAAACAAACAAAAGCGTTTTTTAAAGTGAGCCGGAGGTTCTTCCTTGTTTTGAACTGAACTACAGATTCTCGAAGAGACATAAAACCTCTTTCACTCGCGACAACCAGAAAACAAGAAAATCCTGTGAACACGGCCCAGAAAATGGCAATCCAAAGTTCAACCAAACAAAACGGAGAAGCGACAACGGAGGAAGTGCCGGGGTCGATTGTCCCATATACAGAAGAAGAAATAAATACCTTTAAAGAGGACATGGCCCCTGAAAACACAAAAAAGAGTACGCCGCTTGCAATCGTCCTGAATCGTGGTACTTAGAAAAGTACAAAACAGAGCTGAACTTGAACAGCATTTCTAAAACATTTCAGGGTACTTACCTTATGTCAATCGCGACGTTAAACATGTTAAACTTTCAGTGCTTTCGCTTGGATACTTGATTTCTTTCAGTTTTGCCGCCGAAGAGGTAAAAGGTGTAAATTATTTTCCTTCTCGAGCAAATGACCAATTTGAAAAAAGACGTTCTACATAAACGGCTTCTAAATTCAGTAAAATACCTCTATTTATCCTTACGATTAGTGTGAAGCTTGTTTACATGTAAAAAAGTTTGAAAACAAATGTGAAAACAAGCACAAGGTACAAAAAAAGTTGTCGAAGGTTCAAACGTGTAAGAACTGACCTTGCTTCCTATTCGCTAACGCAATGACAGTTCTGACAGTTGACTTTGAAATGGCTTTCTGGAGAGCGCGCTCAGGATAAAAACAAACAATAGATATTATTGCTGTTTTCTTTTTTTTCTTCTGATTTTTATTCAATTATGCGATTCAAGGAAAATTCATTACCTGACTCGAGAATTCCACGTTAAATTGCACTTGAAAACCGATATCGCACTCATCGCTTCGCGATTCGTGCGATATCGGTTTTCGCGTGCAATTTAACGTGGAATTCCCTCGTCAGGTAATGAATTTTCCTATAGAATGAGGTGAGATCAGACACCGATTCATGAAAAACTTGTATGAGGTACACCTTCCATTTTTTAATCTCTAATACTAAAACAAATTGATCTTTATTGTAAAACCATTTTACCACAATACACATAGATGAAAATATATCATGATATCATTTTTGGGGGGTATCGGAATAAGTATCAAGTGATAATGATGTCACATTAGTTTTGGCTCTAAATAGAATTTCAGCCCTTATTGGCATTTTCTTTGGAAATGCATTACGGTACGTGTACTTTGGTTGCTTGTCTTCTGCTGTGCGAAGTTTCACTAAAATGTATAAGAGAAATTACGAGATATATTTGAATTTCTTCAAATAGGGTATAAATTATGCAAATTCCTAGGCAGTAAGTCCTGTCTTCAGTTCATGCACATTTCTTACCCTTTTTATAGAAATGCCAAGATATCTCGAAATTTCTTTTCTTCGTACAGCAGAAGACAAGCACCCAAAGTACACGTACCGTAATGCATTTTCAAAGAAAATGACGATAAGAGCTGAAATTCGATTTAGAACCAAAACTATTGTGACGTAATTGTCACGTGATATTTAGTCGGATTACCCAAAAAATAAAGTTATAACAAATTTCATCTATGTGTAATACATGTGTTAAAATGGTTTTACAATAAAGATAAATCTGTCCAAGTATGAGAGATTCAAAAATGGAAGGTGTCGCTACCAAAATAATGCCCCTGGACAAAGCAAAAAGACAAAGGTAGAGACGACTTCGGCGAAACAACTGTGTGAAAAATTGGTTCCAAAAGCTGTAATGTCGCAATTTCTAATAATCATCGCACTTTGTAATACCAAATCCATCGCACATCTATCGCACTTTGAAACACCAGGTCGACAAAGTTTAGTAAAACACGTATCATTTTGTAATAAAAAAAACTGTCGCAATTTGGGTGGATGATTTAATAAACAGTTAGCAAGGATACGTATGAAGGCATTTCAATGGAATCACCTAGAACTGATATTTGGACCAGAGGAGAGCCTGAGATTTGCCGGGTTTCAAACCAGGTGACTAAAATTGGGGCTGTTCCTCTTGGTTCCCGGAAATCAGTGCCTGGCTAACGGCTCAAATGGTGTTGCGTTCACACCTTGACTACCATATAAGTGACTTTGTACATAAGTACTACATTTCGCCTTGTCAGACGCCATTTTAATACATGATCTTAGCAGCGAGTACAAAGCAGAGGACGTCCTCAGAATTAAGTAACAAAAACGGTGTGCGCACAGGGACCTGATGCCCACTTTTGTGCCCAAGTACAAGGACTCGACCTTGTACTCGGGCACCGGCACCGAGTACAAAGTAGGTTAACATCCATCGAGCTACATGTTTTACTTATTCTTTCGTTTTTTCCAATCAGTTAAAGACAGAAATTCAGTTATTTCGTCATCGAGTAGCAGTGTACACCATTTCAGTTTTAGTTCAGTGTGGCCCAAGCAGCCTACAATTGTAGTTTCCAATCAAATATGCCATTGATCAACCTCCTTTCCAAATATACCATCGAATCGATGGCATATTGCTCGCATCTTCAGAATAAAATATGGTAAGCGCCATCATACAAAGTGGGATGCGGTTTATTACAAATTACGACAGTGCTACTACAAAGCGTAATTATCACTTCAAAGTTCGACAGTACAAATGAAGTAAAGATACTTTACAAACTATAATAACCGACCTTATCAATCATTAGCTATTTTAAGCCGGTTTAATTTCCTCTTTTGCCTCAAGTTATCCAGCTTCTTACTAGCAATTTTTTTTGCTAGCAGCTTTTTGGCTATTTTATTACAGATCTAATAACATGTGTGGCAAAGTCACTGCCTCGAAGTACAGTACTCGTTTACTCAAGTCTACTTTCATGGATTACTAGAACCTATCCACTAATCCCACGTAAAAATAGATAAAGTCGTGGCCATAATTAAGGTTTTACATGTCTGATTCTTGTCCGATATTTTTAATAAACTTGCGCCATCAATTTCTCCAAAATTACTTACATGCAAAATGGTAGATCATTAGGTATTCAAATAAAAATCGACTGTTCACACCTGGTATTAGCTGCTTTCATTTATTTCCGTTCCCATCCAGATCCTATCCTATCCATTTTTAATACTCAAATTATGAAAATAAAACTTCGTTCAGTTTGGTTCGTGATCCAAGAAAAACGATCTGTACATTCCTTTTCATAAATATGCATCATCATGATTGAAATTTCGTCTTGTGCAAAACATGAGAGCTCTTGGAGCAGTAATTTATCTCACTCCCAAAAATTAAAACGAGAAAAAAAAAACGAAAGACAAAAAGTGAGGTGTTGATTGAATAATCCTTGCATTCGTCAAGTTAGAAAGAAGCTCTCTTTCATTACCCTGGCCAAAATTTCTGGGTTAATAAAGGTTTGTAATTTTAAAGAAAGGGTAAGTGAACTACGTATTGAAACAAGACACTGACTTATAATCCCGTGAATTAACTCGAAACAGACTTGCCGAGCGCGTCAGCCAAAGATTGTGTTCCTGGATATAGCGGCACGAGCCATGACATGTCTTCAACCAGTAGAGACGCAACCGAGGGGTAAAAGCTTTTAATTTCTAGAGTTTGCCTTACAGTTGGGGAGCTTAAGCAACGAAGATGGCGACGGCAACAAGAACGGCAACGAAGCAAAAGGATATTAGCAAAACAACAACTTTGCACTGACGTGCAACACGTTTTTTTTTTGTACATTTGTTTGCCGTCGTTGCACAACTACAACATGAAAGTGCCTAATTTAACGTTTTGTCGAGGACGGGAACACAAGACAGCAACTTTCTTTTTCTTTTCTTGAACTTTGATACAGTCCTTTAGAATTTAACTCCAAAAAAATTCGCCAACATTTGA